ATTAGCACACACGTCAGCAGCGTACACCCATGGGCAAATAGTAGACGCTAAATTAACCAATCAGAGCGCGCGCTTTGCTTTAGTTATGTTATAAAAATAGATTACATACATGCATGTTTTATTTGGTAAAGTAGATTTGAATAGAGATAGCCAAACGGTTGATGTGGACCTACTACAATAAATAACGTATAAGCTAAAAATACAAACGCGAAGGAGTAAGAGTATAAAACACATACGGGAAAAACTACAATTACAAATCCGTTTCATTCGCTTGCCTGAGACCTGACTATAATAACTTAATCTCGCCTTGCTTGCGATTTACTATAAAAACGACCTGAACATCGTTCAGAAATGATAACGCGCAAGAATCGAAATGCAAAGGATGTTTTGAACAAGCCATACATGTTTAACCCTGACATTATTCTATACCTTGGTCACAGGTCCACCATAACCGTCTTTCCTCAAAGGAAAACTGCCTTCAAAGACTTCCGCGTTTGGAACACGCAGCTGATTCGTTATGCTGGCTACAAACAACCTGACGGCTCCTGCATTGGAGACCCATCAAATATTGAGTTCACTGAGGTATTCATGAATCCAGTATATTGAATAGAAATATCAATCAGATTGCTGCATTGCCCGTCCAATATTCTCTCAGTATTAGACCAGTTACTGTCCCGAATGATCCCGCACGACCACTCTCTAAAGATTTTCTTTAGTTTTAGGCTTACGTTTCCGAAAGAACACGCTTTCGCATAATTTTTTTTTCTTTTTCTTCCAACTCTCTTTCCCTTCTGTTTTGTTTAACATCAGACGTGGGTGTACGCCTAGTCGGCTCCCAATCAGAATTGTTCGTTTGAAGTTTGAGATGTTTTTCTAGATCGTGGCGTTTTTTGTTTAATATTTTCAGTCGTGTAATAAATCTCTTATTAACCAAGCTATCCTGGGATCTCACCGGGAGAACATCGGTCCTAGGTCTTTCTAGGTCTAGCAAGACCTCGGGCCGATATTCTCCCATTACGCCGTCGCGCTTGATTAATAAGATGTATGTCACGACTTTGTTTTTAACAGATTTGTGAAGCTCTGGGTTGGGAAGGTAAGGGAGGCCGTTTCGATGTTCTGCCTCTCATTCTTCAAGCTAATGGTGGAGAACCCGAAATGTTTGAGATTCCTCCGGAAATCGTACTTGAAGTAGAAATGAAGCACCCAAAGTAAGTGATCATCTGTATCTAATTTCTCCTGACAAAAACATTTCATGGTCAAGCAGTCAGCTAAAGAATGAATAACATTATTAACAAGGGTATATTGTGAAACCTCCTTTAAGGGGATTTTAAGGGGATATCCTTGGGACGATAAGAAATGCTAGAGTTCCCGCAAACACATGTCGTTATGTCGCTAGTGTGAGCCAGGCTTAGGTCTTTATGAGTATACATTTTGTCGGGACAGCCGTTTGCCAAGGAGGTGTGCCCTAATGAAGCCGTTCCAAAGTAAATGTTCCACTGTATTTGACAATTTACTCGCACCACCAAATTTTCAAATCTAATATTAGAAGAAAGGCATGACAATCTGTAAGGAGAAACAATATCCTTTCCTTGGTCACCAAGTTCTGAGAGAGTAAATGAAAGGACATCTGAAAAATTGGCAATTTCAGTGCTTTGATAGATGGAATCTCTACGTCGTATTATCTTCAAATGAGTGGCATGCGATCTTGTTAAATCCTTCCAGCAAAATATCAAGTTATCGACTTTTTGTACGAAGTATTCTTTCACATCGTCTCAACCTAAACCACACAGGATGCCTGTGAAATGATACTCTCTTCACAGAAGGAACAAAACCTTGTCCCTTTTTACTGCAACGGGAAGTAAAAATAAAGGCCTTGTGCGTCCCACTGCGCTTCAAGGACTGATGATGGAAAGTAAAAATGTCAATCGTCATGTCCTTTTCCGTACAAGGGAAATAGGGCCTTTAAAATGTCAACAGCTTTTATAAAGGATGCAACAAATGAAATCGAAGGTCATGGTTAATCATTTGTAGAGCGCCCTATTGTTGAGTTTTATGTTATTTTTGAGCTTCTCAAAATATTCAAAAATTGAACACAAACGATCTCTTCTGTTTCTTCTTTCATTCTAAGGTATCCGTGGTTTGAGGAGCTGGGATTAAAGTGGTACGCGCTACCTGCAGTGTCGTGTCTCTGCCTTGATGTCGGAGGAGTAGAAATGCCTGCTTGCCCCTTCAATGGATGGTAAGAAAAACACGGAGGGATGGAATGAGTATTCTTTTTGTAGCCATCTTGTCATCAATGATTGAGCGTGCAGTTTCTTAAAATCTCGAAACGGAGAGCCTGGTTTTAACTATGACATAAACACAAGCATAAGCATAACACGCAGTGTTGTGGGCGTTCTCACTATCTCTACGCTTATTCTTATGCTTGTGCTTTTTTTCGTAATGAAAACCAGGCTTAACATAACGTATTGTGCTGGTGACAACCGGCGGAGATAGCTTCTGCAGTTTTCAATCTAGTTTACGACTGGATAATCAGTAAAACATTCCTATAAGTCTATTTAGTAGTGCTGCGCTTAGTTTCAATATTGTTAACTGAAGAAACAATATTGTAACGTGAATATGAACTTCCTTAGAATCCCAGACAGCTGTACGCTGGCCAGGTAATGATTTACATAGTTATGGTTGAGCAGCTAAACACGGGACTGCCCTGTCACAGTTTCAGCCAGATTTTAGAAAGGAGGTTTAAAATTATTTAGCCAGTAAAATGCGGCTCAAAGCCCTGTCGATCCTTTTTTCCAGGTACATGGTGACAGAGATAGGAGCACGTGATTTTGGTGATGCTAATCGATACAATATGTTAGAGGTTGGTTCTCGTTAAGCTGTAGCGACTAGACAAATACAGTGGAACTCCGTTAATACGGACACCAAAGGGACATGATTAAGTGTCCGCATTATCCGGGTGTCCGTATTAAGCGGGCTAATTTAAGAGAAAGTATATGACCTTTTTAGTTGTCGGGACAAAGAAAACTGTCCGTTATAAGCGGGTGTCCGTATTAAACGGGTGTCCGTAGAACGGGGTTTCACTGTATAGTTAAGGGGGTAAAAACAAAAAGGCATACACGGAAACTCGGTAAAAAAAAACTATTGTGAGGGTTATTTAACCGTTCAGTCAATAGACTTAGCAATAAACTCGTCTCAACACCATGGTCAGCCTCCAAAGTAACTAAATCGTGAGATAAAAGTAAGATTGCTTATTATTACTTCTCATGTTGTTTCCTTTCTTTTGCCCTGTAGCCTGTAGCTCTTCGGATGGGCCTGGACACTAAGAGTTATACCTCCCTTTGGAAGGACCTTGCTTTAGTGGAAATCAATGTAGCAGTGATGTACAGCTTCCAGGTTGGTTTGTCTCTAAGCCTACTTAGCCTATTGTATTTTGTTCAAAATCCTGATGCCTAACCTTCTTTCCGTAGCACGTGGCGGCTACTAATAACCCTGGATGGGGAGACCTAGTCCAACGCCATTTTGCCAAGTAGTTTCAATCACCTAGGTCCTGAGAAACCCGCACTGTAAATGGTGGTGTTATATGTCTTACTCAAGAACACATGTTACCAACCTCATTATATCACGAAATTCGTTGGCAAATATAAATAAATTTGTCATTTGCAGGAAGCTGGCGTGACTATCATTGATCACCACAGTGCCTCTGAGTCTTTCCTGAAACACGTTGAGAATGAGGTCAGTGGTCAGCTTATAAATTAAATATTTCTTTAGCAGTTTGTAGAATAAGAATCTGACCGTTATGAGACTGTTTTGTGAGTTCTCGTAATAACGCAATACTTTCTTGATCTTGACTATACAGAATAAGCTCCGTGGAGGATGTCCAGGAGACTGGGTGTGGATTGTACCTCCCATGTCAGGCAGCGTTACCCCAGTGTTTCATCAGGTGATTGTCCCCCTTTTTGTAGTGAGACACTTTGTGACCATTACGTCAGGTAGCGTTTAGTCTTCCCTCCTCCCTCCCCGCCGCCTTTTTGTGCGGGGAAAGGGAGCATTATCGCAGTTGTATGACAACGTTAAAGTAACTACCGGCTGTCAGGTTGTCATCGCCTTGTCGGAATGCTTGAATTGGAATAATTCCCAACAGCATTCTTTCTTGGTTCCAAACACACACATCTTTTTTAAGAACCTCGCGGCCACTTCAGTTAGCCTACTGAGTATCAATAACTCTATTCTTGCATTTATGAAAAAAAAAATGTTACTGGAATTATTTAGGAAAACTCAGTAATTAACAGTAAGTTATTTTTTTCCCTACAGGAAATGTTAAACTACACGTTAAAGCCAAGCTACGAATACCAGGTAGACTACATAGTGTTTATATTTGAAATTTAACCAAACTAACACGAAAAGATCCGATTAGTATAATTGGAAATGTTGGTTTCAGAGGGGTTTTAACGCGAACTGTTGAGGAAACCCAATCAATCACCCTCTCAACGAGGGATAAGAATCGGTCAACGTACTTAATCTTCTTCGTCCCTTGTGAGACATAAGGCAACAAGAATCCCTCACCATTTATCCCTATTTCGAGTGCATATAGTGCCTAACCCCAAGTGAGTTTTACCTCACTAAGCTCAGCAATGACAGATCGGCGCCAGGTTGTTTTTGGCCCACCAGGTTCTATAAGAATCAGCCAAGGCACTGAAAAAAGTTCTTTGAAAAGTGACAGTAGATTGTTGTAGAGTCGACAAAGCTAATTTAAAGGAGTTATGTTACGGTTTGCGCATCTTTAAAGCCTAAATTTTTCAAGTTCGTCGTTTGTAATCTGTGCCAATCTTCTCTATCCTAAACCATCCTTGGTCCTTAATGGCTCATTATTGTCACTGTATTGTCTATATTGGTGTTTTTTTAACTTAGTAAACTATTATTTTAGGGATTCCTCAATTTAAATATATTTTTGTACGAGCTCAAAATAACTCAAAGTGTCCTGACTGAGCTCCTTTAAAACAGCGAGTCGCATTTTAGCTCATTTTTATCTCTTTAGTTTGATAAAAGAAAAGAGCCTCGTGATTATCCGACTTAGCTTAACCATTCAACAAGTTTCACTTGTTTAATTTTCTGCTCTAGGACGATCCGTGGAAACATTATTCATTGAAGAAAGATAAACCTGGCGATTCTCCAAAGAAGAAAGCTTCATTCAAGGAAGTTGCCAAGTAAGTTAAGTAACCAATGTTGTTGAAAATATATATATTCACTGAGTAATATTGTATCCTCGAGCATCTTACTGCCCCTGTGTCCGATTTCCTTTCGCCTGTCGACAAGAAAGACTTCTCCCAAACACTACGTAGTCAGGTCACACGGCCTTCCTCTGACGCAGTTAAGATAGTGGACGTTAAAACTGTTCTGTTTGCTTGGCTTGCACGTTCGCGAGGCTTGTATGGCGAGAAAAATGCAGGAATAATAAGTGAAATACTTCACATAGCGAGGGCTCCTTACGTTGTTGTCGTTGTTGTTGGCTTGGGCTACCTGTCTGTACTTCTAAAACGCTAAGGAATAAGATTAAAACGGAGGAAGTTTTCATCCACTAGTAGGTGGGTGAATAGTTAGGTGTATTTTAGTAAATTCATTCCTACATTCCTAGGGCAGTGAAATTCTCCGCCAAACTGATGAGTAAAGCTTTGGCCAAGAGACAGAAAGCCGTTATCCTCTACGCCACGGAAACGGGAAAATCAGAGCGTTACGCCAAGATGCTTGGACAACTCTTCTCGCATGCGTTTGATCCTAAGGTTAGCTGTTTGCTCAGAAGGTTAACGAGTGAAGCTTATGAGCACTCCCCTGGGCAGGGTGGGGGGCGGGGGNACAGAGTCACAATTTGAAAGCTAAAACTTCAAACTGAGGGACCCAGGAAGACTCCACCTTCAAAACCTTGAAACGATCTTCGACAACACTGAATTGCAAGTTAAATGTGGCGAAAACGTATCTGCTCCAGACGAAATCCCTGTCCAGATCATTGTGTTTCCCACTTTATGAATTTTTTTTTGTTCTTTCTGAACAATACAGATGAAGGAAATTTTATCCTAGTGCTACATTTTGTGTCAGATCTTAAGCTAAACCCCTTAAGTAAAATTTAAACAAACTCGTGTAAGTACATCGTCCAATAGGTTGTTCAGTCTTCTCCTTTGTTCATCAGGTTACGTGCATGGAAGAGTACGCACATCCTGAAATGGAAAATGAACAGCTTGTTCTGATTGTGACCAGCACGTTTGGTAATGGAGATCCACCTGAGAACGGAGAGGTGAACAAGAAAATGACTTGCAATATTGCATTGGTGAAGTTTCTTCGTACTGAATTCCGTTTTTAAATAAATACATCCCTTCCAGAAGTCGGGACCTTTCGCATGTATTAGCTCTAGAATTACTACGGTTATGCAAGTAGTACTGGTACAATCAAATAAACCATAACTGATTTTTTTTTCTTCAGGGATTCGCTCGTTATCTATACGAACTCCGGCATCCTCCCAATGGGTAAGTCACATGGTTTTACATCGGAGAAATTTTGAAATCCGTAACCACTTTGGTTTTGCTTCGCCATGCTTTAGGATTGGCTTAAAAATCTAACGCCACTGGTTAGTTAAAAAACCTTGCGCCTTTGATTGGTTAAAAACCTCAGCGCGCCACTGATGGGTTAAAATCTTGCGCCATCTGATTGGTTGAGAAACCAGTCTGATACAAAACCAAAATCTATAGAATAGTGGGCGGCAATGTAATTGAAAGAGTATTATTCTTTAACTACAAATTTATTTTTGTGTTCTAGAAGTCGATCGTCGCGCAATATGCTGAAACAACTCGGCAGCCTGTTGGTTCAAAAGGAGAAGGAAAGAGGCCTGGCTCTGATGAATAACAGTCAACCACTAGCTAATCTCAGGTAAACATTCGCATCATGCTTTCTTACCGTCGCCCTCAACTCCAACCCTATCCCCGGTGGATCATTTATAAAGCTAGTGACTGAAGTATACGAAAGCCCGATATAACGAACAAACCTTTTGGAAAAAAGCCCTGTTGAAAGCTGACTAACACTAATCTAGAGTTAAAAATTGTACAACTTAGCACTTGGGTCGTGGCCTTTATAGTAATTGACTGACGCGCATGAGGAACCTCTGGTATAATATTAGTTCTTGCTTATAGCCGACGGTGTTTTGTAGATAAAACAACCCCATTAAAGCAAATTTATCCGAACAAATTCAACAAAACCGTAACGCTTAAATTTTGCCCATGGAAGATCGTGCAAGTTGAGTATATAGCTACTCGAGATATTTGACTCAACAGCATTTTTGCCGTTATGGGACGTTTTTTATAGTTCTTAATGAAAAGAATGATTATCATATTGGCAAGTATTTGTCGGAAAGAAAATATATGAGATCTTACAAACCCCAACAAATCGAACAATCAGCTATTGAGACAAATCTGTAGATCACATCAAATTTTGGAACGAGTTTCACATTGTTTTTATTGTTGTTGTTTTTTTGTTTGTTTGTTTGTTTGTTTACTTCGAAAAAGTACTGAAAGAAAGCTAGCAAAATAATTCTTTTATGACTTGGCCACTTCTAAATATTTCAATCTCTTTTTTTCATATCGAACTCCTAAGGTATTCCGTATTCGGCCTGGGCTCTCGAGCTTACCCAAACTTCTGTGCGTTCGCGCGCTCACTTGACAAAATCATCCGAGAACTTGGCGGGGAGCCCGTGTTGAAGATGGGCGAAGGGGACGAGTTGTGCGGTCAAGAAGAGTCTTTTAAAGTGTGGGCTAAGGACGTGTTTAAGGTAAAGTGATAACAGTTTGTTAGTAACGGAGAAGCAAAAACGTCTGCTTAGCGTCTGCCATTGTTGTATAGTTTGCATTGATTTTACGGATCCTTTTAGGAGTTCAAATAATTTGCTTTTTAGTTAAAGAGCTTACAGTTATGTCTTATCTTCGTACCCAGGCTGCTTGCGACTCATTCTGTGTCGGCGAGGAGATAACAAAGGAAGCGAGTCAATCATTGGATACCGTGCCAAGCGGCTGGGTGCCAGGCCGCTTCCGTCTTGCTCAGAGTGTGATTTCTGCTGTCAGTGCTTTTAGTGCTGGTGCTGTAGATCATCTGGATGGAGCGCACAATGAACTTATTCAAGGTACGTGATACAACATCCAGACCTCAATAGAGTCTTCATGAAGAACTCGTATAGTTTCTGATACTTCAGAAGCACATATATGCTCCTGTTGTCACTCAAAGACAAGCACCAGCAGTAAGAAAGCACTTGTAACGTTTTCCAGCCATTATGGTGCATTGAGTTGCTGAACAACTTAAAGTCGAAAACTGCGGGCTTATAATTAGTACGGTCTCAGAGACTGGAAATCAACTGATACTTCCTCCTTCGAGTGAATAATGTCCTAGTAGAAAAAAACAGCGGGGTTGAAATAAGGTAGCCTCTTGGGCAAAAAGCAGTGTAGACGAGTTTTCACTTTAATAGTTTGCAAACAGGTCCCTGCCCTTCGGGATAAAATACTGTTAGCTTCGCCTTACCCGCACCCTCTTCCATCTCCCGCTGTTTAGTTGGGATGCTTTATTTCTAGTTTGCAAACTTTGCTTTTCAGTTTGCTGCGCACGCAGCCCTCGTTTATCGTTACGAATGCGTTTACAGATTACAGCCTCAAGCCATTTACACTGCTAGTGGTCTCAAACTTTTAGCTTCGATAACTAGTACTGTCCATTTACTTCGTGGGTATAAAATTGTCCATTCACTGTTAGGTCTGAAAAGTGTTCCTGAAATGCTTACTTTCTGTTCCTTGCAGGTTTGTCCCATATTTGTGGTAAAGCGGTTCGAGCAGCCACTTTGATGTCAGTGAGGAACTTGCAGTCAGCCGAATCAAGGTGTGTAAAATTGAAACAAAAAATAAAATTACAAGAATTACATAATATAGACTGACAGTAACATTTACTGGATTTCTGGAGTTCGCAACGTTTTTGCTGGTATCGCCATAACTGCTTGAAAGGAATAGTATTTCCCGATATTTTAACTACTATAGGTAACGACGAAAATTACGAGAACTTTGTCGTGACACTCTACTGTATTTGTTTTTGTTCGAAACTGTGCTTAGAACTGAGACCACGATGGATTGTCTGATCAGTATCAGGCTAGCCTGCGTAGCAAGCGTTTCTGTGGGGTTCGGGAGCAAAGAATTACAGCGCGAAAAATGGAGCGAGTAAAAGAGGGGGTGAGGGGGAAACACCGAAAATCCCGTTCCTCGGTCTTTCTTTGCTTCCAAACCCCACGGAAACGCTTGCTACGCAGGCTAGTATCAGGCTGATTATGTCACGGAGTTTCTGAAATTAAGGCAAACAGGAAAGCATATCGTTTTGCGAGTCTCCCAAAAGACACCATACAAAGGTTTATGCAGCACACACTGTAGTGCTTCTTTATACTTCGTACAATCGTACTTGGGGGAGAAGGATCTAGACGAACATAGTAATCTAATTTGTTTTTCTGTTCTTGGCGTAGTCGCTCCACTATTTCCGTAAAGTTTAAGACAGAGAATAGCGCAGAACTGCAGTACAGACCTGGAGATCACGTGGCAATTTTTCCCGCCAACCGTCCGGAGCTGGTACAGGCTTTGATTGACAAGTTATCAGATGACCTTGATCCCGATAATCCAGTCGTTGTCGAGGCCCAACGAGAAGACAAAGGTAAACGAATCGCTTAATGTGCACAATAGATCAACGTTTTGGTAGACAAGTGGTGGTCTTCATCTAAGCTCATCTAAGCCAATCTTGAAGCGTCCAGCTGGGCTGTAGTCCTAAACGCTTTATTTTAGATTGGCAACCAGTGGCCTACTAACTGACTTCCTTCTAATCGCGTGATCACAGCAAATGTAAAAGTTCTTCCTAACCTTCAGAGGTCGATGAACTAAGGCAGCGTCAACACTACGCCAAAGAAATTTGAAAACGCAGCTTTATTTCTACGGTTAGACCTACCATCCACGCTAATCCGTCACAAACGGAACTTTTCGAAAACGCTCATCAAACCGGAGCCGGCTTTGCGTTTTAGTGTGGACGGAAAACGTTTTAAAACGAAGCTTTTCGAAAACGATGACGTCACGATCATCATGTGACTTCCCTGACCGAGTTTTCCTCAAACACAAATCCAAAATGACCGGTGATTGTTGCGTTTTTAAATTTCTCCAGCCTGTGGAGGGAAAATATTTGATGCGTTTTAAGAGTAAAGCCTCCGTTTTGAAATTCCTCCTGCATAGTGTAGACGGAGCCTTATTTATCCAGGATAGATTTTCTATTGCGGTGATGGGGATCCGTTCCTTATTCTTTATTTCTGGTATAAGTATCTAAATAGCATACACACAACGATCATCTCCTCGCTCCAGGTGTCACTACCCCGGAGTCTCTTTTGTTTTTCTAGAATAAACACTGATGTTGTTCTTGTTGTTTTTGTGGTTGTTGAAGATGTTTAATACGACCAACTCAGAAGGGTACATTTTTCAGCGTGGGTGAAAATTAAAAATCAAAGATTTGACTTTTGTACTGTGTGGATAACGATAATTTCAACAACGATTTTGTACCCAGGAACTGCCAAGAAATGGGAAGCTTTCAGTCGTCTTCCATCTCCTGTCACCGTGCGACAAGCTCTGTCACGCTACCTGGACATTACTAGTGTTCCATCTCCTCAGATCCTTAAATTTTTAGCTGTAATGGTAAGTCCTTTCCTGTTGCTTAGGCCTAGTTCACACTCCGACGTAAGAAGGACGTCATGTCGGTATGTTTGCAGTGTGAACATCCTCGTTTTTTTTCCGTTACCTTAGCGTTCGCAATTTTCGTTATAATCATGATTAACCTTTTGTAATTTAAGGGTGCGTTCCTTTGGGGTGATCTGGATCAGGATCTGTAATCCAAGATCACTCGGATCGTGGTGCATCAAAGGAACCGACGAATCCACTCTGGTCACGGATTCATCTGCTCTTTTGATGAACTATGATCCGAGTGATCTTGGATCACTGATCCCGATCCAGATCACCCCAAAGGAACGCACCCTAAGTTTCAAGGATTCCCTTCTCTACACTATCTCGATATTGCGGCAATTAAATCAGTCTTATCCATATTTTATTTTGTAGGCTACTGACCAGGCAGAAAAAGAAAAGCTGGAAATTCTTAGCCAGGTGAGATATTCATGAAAAAGCTACCTGCACTTTCATCTGATATTTTGGAATTAAAAAATCTATCTGTTTCTCATACAAGCTGATTTGAGTGTATTTTGAAGTTTGTGTTGCTGAGCGAACCGATGCTTAACCAACTTGAAAATTCATTGCTTTGTTTCTTCAGGGTAATAATCGATATGAGGATTGGAAGTTTGGAAGCGAATGCAACATTCTAGATGTTCTGCAAGAATTCCCTTCGCTGAAAATTCCTGCTGAATTGCTGCTCACACAGTTACCCTTGCTGCAGCCGGTGAGTGATACAGGATTTCCACAGGGGGGTAGGGGGTACCCCCTTTTATGGGCTATATAGGTATGGCTATGGTTTAATAGCCGTTCTGGTCATAAATAGGGTATCGATTTCGGCCATTTTGGTCTGAAATAGGGTATGGGTTTTGCACTCTAGTCTTGAATTGGGTGTGTTTTTTAGAAGAAGCCCCCGTTTTATCATCATCGATAGATCCTTTAACATCGGTTCGAACTAGGGATCTAACTATAAGGCAGGTCTGAAGCAGAATATTGATTTGAGGATCTGGGGCCCGTTTCTCGAAAGCCCCGGAAACTTTTCGGGCTCGTAAAGCCATATTTAATTTCTCTGTATCTGAAAACTGAGAGGTGTACACGCCTGAAACCTCTTTTATGAAGAGAACCTCTGTTGATATTACGGATATGTGAATAAAACAGCTCTGTAATTATAAGGTTTGAGATTTAGCTACGGCTTTCCGGGTGCGAAAACTTTTCGGGACCTTCGAGAAACGGGCCCCTGGTCTTAAATCAAATAGGGTATCGAATTTTTGGTCGTCATAAAAAGGGTAGGGAAAATCGCTGATTGTGGGAAGCGGGACGCACACACCCCACCCAATTTTTCCGGGAGTACCTCCCCCCCCCCCTTTTTATCGGGTGAACGAATTGAAGTTAGTAGGAATGAAGAGATTCGGTTCAAGCAACATTATTCGGTAGCATTGCACCTATCTACGAGAAAACCCAGCTGGCAACGATCTACGTACCTTCCTAACTCTGACAATTTTATCGGTACTTCACTAATCTAAATAAAACGCTTAGGTCTAGCTCACAATAGCGACATAACGACATAATGACATAACAGCATCATAAGAGCATGAACATGAAGACATAAGGAAGAAAAACTGATATTTCGTTGTCTTTATGTCTATGTCCACATTACCGACATAGGCGATTATACAAGTGAATATATGAAAGATATGAAAATTTTTTTTTTTCAGGCTTCAATTTCACAACTGCTTTTAAAGCTTTTTTTCGTTATAATAATAATAATAATAATAATAATAATAATAATAATAACTGCTTTTAAAGTTGTGTGTACAGCTGCGATGATCAATCATGTCTTCATGTAAGCGATTATGTCGTTATGTCATTATGTCGTTATGTCGCTTATGTCTCTATGTCGCTAGTGTGAACTAGGCCTTACAATCAACAACGGATTTCAATGTTTTGCCTCATTTTCGTATAAGTCTCTAGAAAAATATTTATAACTTAAGAGATGATCATGCTATGGGATTTTAGAGCATTCAAACAGCTTGGAAGAAACTCTAATTATTATTTCTTTGTTGTCATCAGCGTTTTTACTCCATCTCGTCGTCACCAGACCTCTTTCCTGGTGAAGTTCACCTCACGGTTGCAGTGGTACAATATAACAAGAGAAGTAAGAAATTGAATTAATTTGAACTCTGACTTAGATCTTTGTGTTCGCCTTTGCATTGAAAATAACCTTTATTACATGGTTAGCCAGTTAGCGCCGTCGAACTCAGATCTCTACAATAACTGTTTAATTTCTTGCGCGCTGATTGGCTCATTTTTATCATCAATAAGAGTACAGACGGATAAAATTTTAATTTATGCAAGCTTTCAAGTTCAACTGTCAACTTCTTAGCCCATGAAGTCTTATGGAATTTTTTAAGTAGCCATTCAAAAAGCGAGAAAAGCTATTGACAATGTTCGCGTCATTTTAAATAAAATTCACTTATCTTTGTTTACGGCAATTGCAAGTTTATGGGCGTCTTCTCCCCTCATTTATTCCCGGTATTTGACCATTTTGGGGTCTTGTTATTGTATAAAACAAATTGACGTCAGTTTTTATGTGTCTGTCCTCTTATTGATGATAAATTTCGTCATGACATTGTCAAAGCTTACTGCGGAACCACTCGCCTGCGGCTCGTGGTTCCACAGCCACTATGACAATTTTATGACGCAATTTATCATCAATAAGAGGACAGACGCATTAAAAACTGACGTCAATTTGTTAAATCGTCACTCTTTCGAAAGGTGCGCTACTGACGTCCGTCTAAAATTACGGCGTCTTATGTTTTATCTGTCTTTAATGCTGTGGCACCTGTTTTATTTCTTATTATTAGGTGGTAAAGGTCCAGTTCATCATGGCGTTTGTTCCACGTGGCTGAACAGTTTACAGCCTGGAGATAAAGTGCCTTGTTACGTCAGACAGTTAGTGAAGAGTTTTCAACGTTGATAGTGTTAATGGTTTATTTTGATACAAAGCAAAGTGTTTCAGCGGATTTTCAGCCAAGAATAGAGGGGAAAAATTCAAAGAAGCTATCTGAGGCCAAATTGGAAGACGGATGCACGCTAAGACAGAAGGATATTAAACTCATTTCATTTAAAATAGAATGTCAGAGTGTTCAATTCCGAATTGAGATCTAGGAAAATATAACATTTCACCGACATGCCTGCAAGTGATGTGATCGTGGATTTGCTCGATCTTTTAAATTGCCATGTTTGAACATAGTTAAATTAGTTTGTAAAACAAAATCATTAAAACATCATGTCATTTTGCCAACAATCTTTTTGTTGGTGTTGTGCAGAGCCCAGACATTCCATATGCCCGAAGATAGCACCGTTCCAGTTATCATGGTGGGGCCTGGGACGGGCATAGCTCCATTCCGAAGCTTTTGGCAGCAGCGTCTGTTTGACATAAGCAACAAATGTCCTCCCAAACCCAAGACCTGTGACGTCACACCAGACTCAAGCCCTCAAATACGCCGTCGAAATTTTGCTGTGTCCGGGGACGATTCTCCAGACTCCAGCCCTCGAATACAGCAACGTATTTTCACTGGTAATTCTTCTTTGCAACGCCAGATTTTCTCTGAAAAAGACGACGACACCACTGTTGCTAATGGCAATACCCTGAACGCGCATTTAGGAAAATGGGGTGAAATGTTGCTGTTTTTCGGGTGCAGAAATTCCACTCAAGATTACATCTACAAAGATGAAATGGCGCAAGCGAAAGACAAGGGGGCATTGACTGAGATATGGGCAGCTCACTCACGTGAACCGCAGCAGCCAAAGGTAAGAGAAAGACGACTTCCATTGAAACCCAGATATGCTTGCACATACAAGTTTCTCCAACTGGGCTTCGTACATTTCGTATTGTGGTGCTAGTTGGGAGAATGTGTGAGATTGCATATTAAGGGTCCGTTTCTCTGTTAGTTCCATCATTATCTACTTCTTGGACCCGTGATCTTGGACTTTGCAGATTTTTCGACATGTAAGAAATTTTTCGTTCCTAGTTTGGGAAAAGGATCTCTCTCAAAAAGGCAGTCGGTCTGGAATGATGTTTTTACCCTTCTTGAGCTAAGACAGTTATGTGGTGTCAACGTCAATCAAGCTAAAACGTTCGTTGTTTTGCCGCCTACTACGTACGCGATAATAAGTTAGCTGATCATTTTTTTTGCCAGGTGTTAAGCTTTGAGACAAACAAACAGACGGAGAGACGTACAGACAAATAGACACACAGACACACAGACCTACAGACAGACAGACAGGCAGACAAACAGACCTACAGACAGACCTACAGACAAACAGACAGACAGACAGGCAGACGAACAAGCAGACGAGACCTTCTGGTAGACAATACGGACTAATACAACGTAAAATAGTCACCTAACGTACCATAAACGAAATCTGCAAAAATCCAGGCGGAAGCTTATCAATTCGTTCTCTGTCATTACCAAAAACATACATTGTTTTTTTCAGAGATATGTTCAAGACATGCTGAAACAGGAAGCATTTGACATCTGTGAAAAAATGCTGAGCCAGAAAGGACACTTTTACGTGTGCGGTGATGTGTCAATGGCTGAAGACGTTTGTAGAACGCTGCAGGTGATCAGCTAGACCTTAATTAAAAAATAAATGATTTACTTAAATGGCGTCAAGGTGCGTTGTTTATGAATGATCGTTTTAATATATCACAAAAATAACTTCTAGTCTCGGGAGCAGGCGATGTTAATTAAAACACGTCCAGACACAAAGTTGAAGACCAAAAACCTAATTCTTAATACACAAATTAAAGGACTAATTTGATTATTAGATTATTAGCAAAATCGCATCCTTTTATGAAAAACTTACAGCCAAATTTTTCCTTAAATTTCGTGTTCTAAATGTCATTCCGAATAATTAACCGTCTAATGACCTAAAATTTAATCGCCATTTTTTTCTGCCCAACCGTCAAAACGCCCGGGGTGGGGTGGGGAATCCCATATAAAAAGGACGGGGGGTGCTCGTCGTACCTTGCAGGGGTGACAAAGTGGTTTTGGTTCCTCTTCGGGTGATCAGCTTCAAAAGGTCCACAGCGGGAGCTTTGACGGTACCTTTTAGGGTGTTGAGCCAGAAAAAAATATGACAGGAGTTAACGTCTTCTTTTAGAATTGGTATCTCTTAGGGGTGGAAAAAAATTTCAAGCCACACCCACAAAACGGAATCTTGGTACCTTTTAGGGGTTCTTTTCAAAATTTCCGACGAGCACCCCCGTCCTTTCTAAATGGGAGTCCCCCCGGGGGGTCAAAACGGCCTTATATTTTTAACCGTCAAACGTCAAAGGGACCACCCCATTGAAACCCTCTGATGAGAATGGGTGCATGAGAAGTGAATCAATGGAAGGGCAAAGGAATTAATTAATCGCGCCTGGCAGAGTTGAAGGAACAAGTGCAACTTGAAGAAAATGACATTAATGAACATTTCATCTATCCTCTTCAGACTCTACTTCAAGAATACGCCGCCATGTCGCAACAAGAGGCCCAGGAGACAGTCGACAAAATGAAGGTAACGTAAAAACTAGCCACGCATACTTTTCAGGACATCGACACCTAACAAAATATATTGGAAGGTCCTTTATTTGCAATTACTACAAGTGATTCCAACTACTCCAGTTTTTCACCCTTCGCAAAAAAACATCATTTCAAAATGAAACTAAGGTAACATCGTTTATGGTTTCCACTCGTATTTCACGCCAGCAGTTGCGAGGCCTTATGAAACCTTCCCGTACGTAAAAAATACTGTTGTAGATAATCATATCTTCTCTTTTTCTGTGGTAATTCTTCCTCGTATCAATTTAGCTAAGTCTTTGAAACATCTATTTCAGAGTTCCGGTCGATACCACGAGGATATTTTTGGAGTGACTTTGAAAACGAGAGAAGTGACAGACCGCGTACGAACCGCGGCTAAAAGGTATGTTCGATAGGAATGATATTTTCTCATTAAGCCCTCCTTTGTTTGATTTCTTGGTCTCATACTAATTCGCAGCGATTAATAATAATTCGCTGGGGTTACTCAGATTGTCAAGTAATATATCAAATACGAAAGACCGTGTTTGACCAAATTTCGAAACACCGAGAACGGAGTTGAAAATACTACGAGCAACGGAGTATTTTTGACGAACCTCGACTAAAAAAACTAAGGAGAAAATCGAGAATTAAAATCGTGAAAAGTCTATGGTAGTTAAGATCAGATATTCAATTAAGTTTGAGATTCAAATGTCAAACGTTGCGCGACACTCCAAAATACAGCTGCAAACTTTGCTCATTTTTTTCACAGATCCTGGTTGTACTTAAAGGCCTCAAGCAGGATGACCTTGGTGAGTGATCGATTTTATTTAAAAATTTCTTAGAAGCCACCCGTTATACAGGAAATTGACCATTTCGAACTTTAGAGCCGTTTTCAATTGAGTGTAAATCCACTGAAAGCCAAAGTAATCACTTAGGCCTGTCGCAAAGGACACAGTAATATCAAAAGTGGAAGAAAATCCATGTAGGCATTGCAAAGCGCGGGAAAGCCTGCTCACGATTGGTTGTGGTTTTACTTCTGATTGGATGAAACAGTGGCGCGAGTATTTTTAAGCCAATCGCTGATCGCGTAATGCAAAACCAAAGCTAATTACTTTCGATACAATCGAGTGAAATCTGCTCTACGCGCCATTTCCAAAAAGGACACCAAAAGGTTCGTTTGAAAATAAGATATATGGCTACATATAACCCACTCCACATCGTTCGCTGTTTACAGGCCCGACTCTCGCATTGTGACGGGGGTGTTCGTCGTACCTTTTAGGGGTTAAAAAAGCGCTTTTGGTTCCTCTTTAGGGTGTTTAGTCTCAAAAGGTCCACACGGAAGCTTTTGCAGAACCGTTTAGGGTATTGGGCCGAAAAAAATAATTATGACAGGGGATAATGTGTTGTTTTAGAATTGGTACCTCTTAGGAGTGAAAAGAAATTGAAGCCACGCTCACTAAACAGGATCTTCTTACCTCTTAGGGGTTCTTTTCGAAATTTCCGACGAGCACCCCCCCGTCCTTTTTATATGGCAGTCCCCCCGGACTGTCTGCTAGGGAAAACATACTCCAGTTATAGCTCCACTCCACTTCTTCCCACCCCCCACCCCCTACCCCCGGTGTAAGCCCCCCCTGCAATTGCATTTCCCATATCAACTTACTAACGTTCTTGCAGAACTTTTTGCTGCAAATAGAAATAAGCAAGAAATAATTTTACACGTAGAAAACAAATAAAAATGTTGAATCAGATTCGCTTTCTCATAAGATGTCGCTCATCAGTGCATTTCACTAATCTTTTGTCATCTCATTTAAACGATTCTCTTCGGTTATTAGCTCTTTCATTTATGAGGCACCTTGTATAAACCCAAGGGATAAAAAACTGGTATTAAGTGGGAACCGAATTGATCGAGAATAAACAGGAAGAACGAACATCGAGCAACATTCTCTGAGTAGTAAAAATACAAACAACGAAACAGTTGTAAACGCAGCCCAAACCAAGCTATCGATACGCGTTACATTTACACTTAAGTCAACAACATGTCTTGCAATTGTCTGACGAATAAAATTTTTTCATTGTAGAAAAGTGAACAAAGATCTCAACGACAGCAATTAGCGAGAGCACCTGCCATCAAAGTAGTCACGGGCGAGGAAGGCGTGGACGGCATCCAAGCGTAGGTAAACTGGTCGTTTAACTGAAAAACGCATTTTCGCTTTAAGTGGTATCTTTTAGAGGTCAACTAAAGCTAGAGCTACGCCCAGATTGGTTTAATTCTCCCCCGGGGCCTACGTCCGTCTTTGAGTTTGTGACAATTTCAATACTAATAAGAAAAATTAAATCATCGATAGGAAGACTACCTAAATTTCTACAACTTGCGACTGGCGAGGAAGAGGAAGGTTCGGGCTTGTCATGAGAGTCTGTGCGTAAAATTTTATTTCTCATGACTGGCTACCTGTGGAGGCATTTCCCTCCAGGTTCTCTCTTTGCTTTGTTAATGGCTTCTCTTCCATGTCTAAGTGTTTCGAAAAAAAACATTAGGTGGATCCTGTTCCCCTATCTTCTTGTGGTGAGGGGGGGGGTGAGGTGGATGTACAAAGGGTAATTTCAAAACCATCACTTCATGATCATAACCAATTGAAAGTTAGATTTTATTTTTCCGTATTTTTAAGAGTAAAAGATCGTCGATGAGAAGTACTGTTTCAGCTTCCCAAAAGTGGCGTTCGTTCACAAAGTCATAACGACGACCGCTGAGGACCATCCGTGACTTGAGTTGTTTTGCTTCTGAAAAAAAGCCATAGACAATTTTAAAAGCACACAAAAAAATAAATATAGATTACTAAAATGCCTTTCGCATAAGAGCAATTAAAATGTAATAGTAATTAAAGCACAAATTATCTGCATATCTAAGCTATAAGAACTGCAAATAACCAGGTAAAATTAAATTTAAAGAGCTATATTTAATAGATAAATATTAAGATTAAGAAATTAAGATATAATCATACAGGAAGCGTTTCATTATAACTTACTCAGAATACACCAGTTTACTGGTTGAATTGCTCTGGCAATAACAAATCGTGCTGGTGAGTTCGTTGAAAAAAATAATCAGTTCGGATCATGTGATGTTAGTTGTATCCTTGGCGAAATTTAGTCAATGGTCTTTCGTTACTAGAAAAAAAGAAGAGTTTGTTTTATCGCAAGATATATGCCAAAAGGATTCTACCAAAAATGAACAAGAAAACAATGGCAAAATTTCTTTTTTTTTCCAGAAATAATATACCTGTATATAGTAGAAATAGGCTCAAATAGCAATGAAAGTTAAGGATATGGAGAAATCCAGAGATATAAAATGTGGGCGAGTGGTACTACGACTATTTCAAATTCTGTTCCCTTCTGTTATCTGTTCTTCTATACAGTTGTATTAAAGATTGGATTAAAGATCGTGTTTTCGTGACTATTTTAATAGAGACGTTCAGATCCGAGCTCGAGTGTACGACCAAGTATATCTGACCTGTTTACACCGAAATGCTTTCTATTTAAACCCTTTCTGAGCAAAATAACTTACGTGGTTTAGTAGGATGAGATGATACCTATCCCGTCAATTCAACCATTTTAAAAGAACTCGCAGAAAAATTATGTCTGCTACCAAATTGTCCCTGCTAAGTGGCACTGCTTCACACACGCGCCCTACTGCAAGGTTCGTAAATTTCGTTGATGGTCGTACTCGGATCCACGTTGAAAGTTTCTCTCCTCTAATACTTGCTCTTGGTGTATCGAGCCTTAAACAAAATACATAAATGTCCACAAAACTTGGTTTTCTTGGCTTATTTTAATCCATCTAGGTATATAGTAGTATGACTTGTTCAAATATAGTAATGTTTAATTTAACGGGGTAAGCCCATAGCAGATCCCGACGTAGAATAGTTAAAGCTAACTTTAAGAGCTTTTATGGAGCGTAGCATAGACCATGCTGCACAACCTACACACTTGTAGCTGTGTGTGTCTCGTACGATAGAATTGCCTTTAAAGTAATGAAAATATATTATGCATGATTGTTCAAAGCAATAAGCCCAAACCATGCAGAATAAAAACACGAAATAGTTGACTGACAACTAAACAAACAAACCCAAACAAAATGTTAGTTTATCTTTAATGCTCCTACAGTTTACATAATACATAATACATTACATAATACAGAAGATGCCCGTTATTTCTGAGAGTAACCCAGTAGTACCCAGTCTACAATTCGTTCTCGTTCATAGCGCAAGGAAGGAAACTGGACCTTGACGCTGAGTTGTTAGCTAACTACGTCATGGTGGCCAGGAACAAAAAGGCTACAAATTAATCAGTTTGAGTACTTTCCATGCTGCTTTGTTAATGCCTAATTTGTAACTACACTCTCATCACCGGAACTAGTTCCGTCCCACGATTCAATCTCTCCGTTATCACTTGTACTTCAAAATCAAGTGACAAAAACCCTTGAGTGGTCTAGAGGATTGAATCATTCTCTACCTTTACATTCTTGTTTTTCCTACCTATTAATTAATGACTATTGTAACTGATAATAACAGAGGTTAATAAAATGTTGAAATGATTGCTTTTCCTTGACTGCATAAGGGAGAAATGAGATTACGATTAAGGTGGCGCTGACAATGCTTTCACAGGGTACGTTCGCATCAAATTAGAACATGAATTAAAGTTAAACTGACTGCGTTTTGTGGCGACCAGTTTGAATTTTGATTCGCGGGCGTCGGGTGCGAGGTCTGGAAATGAGAAATTCTAGGGCCTGGGGCGCCTGGAAAAATTCGAAAATTCTCGGAGATCCGATCGCTTGCCGAGAGCGGTTTCTGAACATTTCTGGGATCCAATCCCCGCAGCAGATGACTGTGCGTATTTATAATTCAAACTAGCTGCCACCAAAAAGCAAGCGACTTGCATATTGGTAAACCCTCATTTATCACGTTTATTTATCCTCTAATTTGATGCGAGGGCAGTTTTAGTATCTGTGATAAGCGTGTAATATATGACTTTTTGAAACACCTATCAGTTAGCAAACACAATAAGCTCCAAACCTGGCCAAAATATTCCCAATAGCAAAGATGTCAGTGACGTCACCTATTGTTATTAATATGCCAACCAGAGAACTATTGGCTGGTTAAACAAAGAATTCTTTTGTTTAACGTTTTGAACATTTAAACAACAAAAACATTGCTTGTAAACAAACATCTCCCCTATTATGCTAGAAGCTACCAATAGATGGTTGTTTTGCAAAATTATTCAAAAAAAAAAAAACGCAAGGAGGCCACTGCCCCTTGCAAAGAGTAACCTCATTGGATTTTAAAACACAACAGAGGTCGTATTCACAAAAGGCGGCTGATCGTGAAAAGAAAAGTTCAAAGGGGAGTCAGTCAATGACAAAGAAAATGCAAGCGCAAGCGCAAAAAAATCTCTTTTGAATGGTAGATGATTATTTAAGGATAGGATATTCATTATTGGCGTCTAGATCCTGGCGTATCCAGTCAACGAGTGATTCTATTAATATATGGCTTTTCCCTATTTTGCGTTTGCTTAGAAAGTGAAATAAAACTGAATTAAACCTGTTACGAACAAGTGCAGTCTTAGAAATACACGCATGGTCTTACGCTGAATGTATTTTCGTTGTTCAGGTCGTAAAAATTCCACGTTCCCATTTCACTTGTGAAACCCATCGACACGTAGTTATTTCCCATGTTATTCAAAAAGTATTCAAGAATTGTTTGTCTTTGAGAAGTTTCCATGACAAAGAATTCCACTTGCAGAAATGCAGCAGAAAAAAAGCATGCAAGGAGGGTTTCTTGATAAACCTTGTGACGTGTTTGCGAGCAATTGGCCCAAACGTAAATTCCATATTCATGAGGACTCACGCGTCCGCGTACCCGCATCGTTGTTTGTCAGTAGGAAAAGCTTGTGGACGTTGTAGGATGTTTACCGCTCCCTTCCTCAGGAGAAGCAAATTTTAATTTTGGAGGCATTTTGACAAAGAAGTTCCTTTAATTTTCTTCCTTGTATGGTGAGTATCAACTTTATAGGTACTCTACGCTAAGCGAGAGCGAGTCTGCAACCGTGCTCCAAATTCAACGTGTGTCCTTGCTGACTGGGCTGACATTCCTTGTCGAAGCTCAAACGCCTTGTGACTGAATCAAATACCTATAAAATCTGATTATTGTGAGCGATGTGAAACGAAATTGCTCTCTCTAGTCCAAATTTAAACGTCTTGTTGCTCGGTGGGGCCGTATTGCCAAAGTTTTCGAACTTCAAAGTTTTTTCATGTTTCGCCTTCTCCACTGGTTAAATTTCCCCAAACATTTGAACGGTGAAGCTCGCGAACCACATACTGAATCCGCGGAAAGTTTCCTTTTCCTAAAATATTCACGGAAAAAAAGTTCATTCCGTATACTTGAATTTTTTAGTTAAATTCCTTGCTTAATTATATGTATGTTTCTTCTCGGCTCACACAGTTTTTGTCTTCTTTGTTTAGAGAGCAACGGCTTGGAGAAAAGAACGCCAGCAAGGTGTAAATGCAGGACGATAATGTAATATCAAGCAAGGAAAAATCAACTGGTCAGAGCTGGATGGAGTAGATACGACAAAGATAAGAATATCAGTTGTGAATTTATTTAACTGAAACTTTTCCCAAAAGACATGGCATTTTTTTTCCATGAAATAGTTTAAGAACCCTATATTTCAAAGGGTAGCAAACTGGTCTGATTAATTTTAAATGAATTCCATCTCGGCGAAATATCATCTGCTTACGGGAGATTTTCAAACCATGAGGCGAGATTAAAAATTTAATTTGAAGTCTGCCATATCTGTTGGAAAGGTTTTCAGATCTTTTCTCAGGACCAGGGGGGATTTAATCATGAGCGATCACTGCATTTCATAAAAGCAGTTTCTTTTATGTCAATTGTATTTTCATTTTGTTTTTTGTCGAGGAAAAAATTCGTGTTGGAAATTTCGTGGAGCTAATCATCTCGTTCAACTTTATTTTGTTTACAATGTTCAGAATTGTATGTGATAGTGTTTGGGTTGCATTGATCGCTCAAGGTCCTGATCTAAACACAAGAGGTACTTTTAAGGTGGCACTGTGTGGTCGAGTTACTAAAATTATGCGCGAGGTCGTACAAAACAATCAACAAATGAAATAGACTTTTTGGCAACTATTGGTCAGGCTAGCACGTAATTGGCACCAAATGTTAGTAAAGTTGATCCAAACAATTTTCAAACAATCCACTGACAATGCTTTTGATTTTTTTTTTTTTGCGTCAGTCAGTGAAACTGACCAGGGTTCAATCAATGTTTATAAATTCTGATGAAAAATATTTTAATAAAGTGAAAGGAGTTTTTTTGTGCAAAAATGAATCACAAATATCGATCGATTGTAAAACGAACCAAACTTGGACGAGAAGAATTTTGAATTTTTTAAAGAAATTTAACAAGTTGAGCATTTATTTTTGGAAATTTCCAACAATATTGGAAACAAAATGTTCATTTTATAACGATGTTGACCGTCTAATTTTAAAATGCCTTTGCATATTCAAAGTTTGAACCATTCAAGGAGAGGAATAATTTACAGAAATTAACGACAAAAAATTTATTTGAATGAAAAGGAAAGAGTCAATGATTCAATATTACTATTAGAATTAATCGTCACGAATGCATCAGGTATAAACTCGTTAAATTTTTACAAAAATAGTGGTGTTCTTGGAACCAGTTAGTTATCGTATTATTAACATTTTTTACCCAATATACACTCGACACGCAGGGCCACCTTGAGGTAACTTAAAGTGAATATGGGATTTTTGAAATTATTTTTGTACACTGGAAAAAAATTGCGAGCTAATATTATTTGTCGAGATATTTTGGTTTTAATTTGAGGAAAGTAAAGAAATTTACAATCGATCAAAAACCTATATTCTCTTGTCGCTTTCAGTGAGGTTTTAAAGAATCATGTCTGGTTTCAACTGAGCAACAATGATCACATCGACATACATTCGCTAGTTCACAGATTAACTTTACAGAAAATATTTTGTTTTCTGTTTTTGTTTTTGCCATGATTTACAGTTCTCAAAATCACAAAATTCTTCTTAATAATTCACGTTTTCCCAATTGTCTAAAGAGTCTTCCAGAGTTTTTCTCTGGCATAAATTTATGACATGTGTGTTTATATTTCTGTTGGAATATTGAAAAACAAATTATCAGTTAACAAGTTCATGCTTATTCGTGTCGTGATTTATAGTTTCTAAAATCGCCAGAAACAAAGGAAAAAAATTCGCTTTTATATTTCTCTCATGAACATTCATGTTGTTTGCAATTGTCTAATGAATCTTCCAGAGAGTTCTCTCTGCCAAAAATTTATCAAACGTGTGTTCATATTTCTAGAGGACGATTGAAATATTGAAAAAATTCCATTAGTTAATATAACATTCACGCTTACTTGTGTCGTGATTTAGTCGCCAATAATTTTGCTTTCTTTTTCTCTCAACAATAAACATGTCATTCTCAATTGTCTAATGCGTTTTCCAAATCTGTTCATACTTCTTGTGGAGGATTGGAAGATTGAAATAAAATTGAAATACTCTTTGACAACCAGACGTTGATTTTTAAACCCCCACGTCATTTAATGTTATAGATTCGTCGAAATCGGTTTCTGACCGCTACACAGGACAAAGAACGAATTAAAACGTGCAGAAGTTATTACAAGCAGAAACACAATTGGCCATTTTGTTTACATTTTAATCAAAACACTAAAATTGCATGTTTTTTTCCTCGAGTTTTCGATGATTGTTTTGGATTCATGTTATTTGTCCTTTGTAGCAAGCTGAAACAGTCTTGTTAGATAGTTTTTAGTTCTAGAAGATAACAGGGCAAGCCATAACCTTTTTTGCTATCAGAGAGCGTTTGGCGTTACGAAATTTTCAGGATTTTTTTCTTTTGTAAATTTTCTTGTTTTAGTGTTCTTTTTTTGTAGTATTAACTGCAACGTGACGGAATTTTTAGGCTTTGTTATTTTTTTATTTGTTTTATGAAACAAGATTATGGCTTGCCTGTGTTATATTCTATAACTACCGTGATGAAGTCATGTCTAATAGTCAGCCCTAAAACGACGAACAACTGGAGATCTATTTCCAGGAATTAGAAGAACAAGTTTGAATCAGTAGAACTGCAAGGTTTTAGCGTATTAGGTTGAATATTGTGGAAGTGGAAGTATTTTTAAATCGCTGTATTTAAGAGAGTTTATACAGTTGAACTAACTCTTTAAAATTTAGCAATTTCGAAGTGCTCTACTTTCTCAATATTCAACTTGATGTGTTGAAACTTTGTAATTCTACTTATTTGAACCTGTTCTTCTTATTTCTGTAAATAGTTTTCTTGCTGCTTGTCGTTTTAGAGTTGACTGTTAACGCGACGTTATCGTGGACTGTAGAGTACACCATTTTGTACACGAAACATTGGTTCTCGATCAAAATTTCTATTTGGTGGATTTTTAACTCTAAATTCCAACGAAAACGTTATTTTAGACTCAAAAGTTAGTGTACAAGATGGTGTGTGTNGTAAATAGTTTTCTTGCTGCTTGTCGTTTTAGCGTTGACTGTTAACGCGACGTTATCATGGACGGCAGAGTACACCATCTTTTACACGAAACATTGGTTTTCCATCAAAATTTCCATTTGGTGGATTTTTAACTCTAAATTTCTGCGAAAACGTTATTTTAGACTCTAAAATTAATCTACAAGATGGTGTAAAAATAATTCAGGGGGAAACCCTTTTTAATTTTTTGCCGAGAAAGTTGTCAGGGGAAACGCTGTGCAAATTTTTTTAAATTTTCCCGCCAAAAGTCTTAGTATATAGAGGGAAAATTTTGTTGTCACACCTTTTTATTGATTTCATTTAACTAATTAAGGAATAAAGAATTCTGAAAGATAATTGATTGTTGTTATTTGATTAATAATAATAAAGAAATATATACAATGACGCTTGTTATGACATGCTTTATTTGAAATTTAGTAAAAGACACAAAAGAATATTTGAGATGTGTTGTTTATTATCATTTAAATACTTAAAATGTATTAGAAATTAATAGTTAACCACATAGCAATATTAGGAAAATACAATTTTTTTGTTTTTTTAAAAAAAAAACGGCGCATGCGTATTTTGGGCGCCCGTATTTTTTCTAAGTTTTTTGGCGGGAAAATTAAAAATTTTTAGACAGGACTTACTTACAGCAAGTAAAACAAATTTTTTTTTAAAAAAATACGGCGCATGCGTATTTTGAGCGCCCGTATTTTTTCTAAGTTTTTTGGTGGGAAAATAAAAAAAATTAAACAGAGTTTGCTACGACAATATCAGCCAAAAATTGTTTTAAGGGCAACAAGATAGCATTTTTTCAACAGACACTGAAGCAAAAAAATTAAAACCCAAACTTGGCAAAAATCAATTACTTTTTAATCATTACTCTTCGCTAGAAATACTAAAACAAAACATTTGAACTTTGAAATTTTTCTTAGGCGAGCCTTCTTGTTTGTAAATCATACTGCAAGTTTGTTTTCTCTATGTAGAACGACTCTGAAGGTTTAATCAGTCGCGTAAGATAGTTATAAACGCCCAAAAACTTCATTAGAGGTCGCTGTAC